TTCGTTTTGTTCTCCTTGTTGAGAGGGGTACCAATAATTTGCTTGTTCAACAGACATCAAAGTTATATGCAAATCTATTAGTTCTTCTATCTTTTTATAACATAACAGACAATCAGGTTTTTGTTTGCCTAATTTAGCAGAATAGTTATAAAAAACAAAGTAAATTAGTTATTCTGGTTATAATATTAAGAAAAAGATCATTTATTCATCTATGTAACTATTTTTAAAAGAATTTGAATTAAGATTATTTATTTTTCTCTTCTTTTTTAGAGATTATCAACCAGGGTTCAACAATTGTTTCAGAGTTATTTATTCAATATAAATTACAGTAGATGTCTCTACACTTCTTATAGTAGTTTTTTCATTATAAATGCCAAATTAGAATTCCATTTTTGTTTTTATTTTTTTCTTACTGAATAAATTAAGCAAAAAATCAATACATTTTTTTTGATTTATATAACATATAACAATAAACAAAAAAAGATGTGAACAGTTAATTCTTTAAATTTATTGATGGAAGAACAAAACCGAGTACTACCAATGAAATACTTTCATTCTCTTCAAGAGAAGTTGTTAAAATTTAATCCTCAAACAAATGAAAATTACTTATGTACAGGAGAAATAACAGACATTATATCGACAGTAATTCCTATACTTGAAAAAGAACCAACACTATTAGAATTGTCACCTCCGGTCAATATTGTAGGAGATGTTCATGGATGTTTTAATGAAATGATTGAATTATTAAAGAAAACATTAATCCCAAATGCCCCATATCTATTTCTTGGAGATTATATTGATAGAGGGAAATTTGGTATAGAAGTTATGTGTTTATTATACTTATTTAAAATACAATTTCCTAATCAATTTTTTCTTTTAAGAGGGAACCATGAATCATTTTCAGTTTCTAGTAGAATGGGAATAGCATCATTTCATCAACAATGTTTGTTTTTGTCAATTTATTGTATTAATATTATATTGATAAAATAATAGGTGTTCATCGATATTCTGAAATTATTTCATTACATTTTTTTAATAGTTTTAATTACCTTCCTATTGCTTGTTTAGTAGATCACTCAATGCTATGTCTTCATGCAGGTATTTCTCCTGATCTTAAAAGTATTGATCAATTAAAAAAAATACATCGTCCAATAGAAATACCAGAACGAGGATTGTTGTTTGATATCTTATGGTCTGACCCTTTTATTCCTCAAACAAAAAATACTGATAATAAAATAAATGTTGATTATAATGGGTTTATCCCAAATACAAATCGTCAGTGTTCATATTTTTTTGGACAAAGAGCACTTGATACATTTCTTCAACAAAACCAATTAAAATATTTATGTCGAGGACATCAAGTTGCAGATGGATTTCAATTATCAATGAATAATAAATGTATTACTATTTTTAGTTGTCCTGGATATGGAACAAATAATAGAGCTGGAATGCTTGTAATAGATAAAGGATTTAAGTGTCAATTTGTATATTCTAAATGAGAAAAAATTTTATCGTAAAGAGTAGGAATTAAATTGTTATCCAAAAACAAAATATTTAAAAAAAAGCATTCAATGAGCTTCTAATATTAATTTGATACCTCCAAGAATTATTAATAAAACAACAAAGTAAATGAGAAGGAATTTAATCATTACTGATTTTCGATCTATAGGTTGTATTAACTTTATTGACTGAGAAAGTGTTCCATTAACAAAACATCTACCATTACTTTGAATATCATCAATAGACCCTTCAACAGAAACATTATTTACTCCAAATAATGTTAATTGATGAATAGTTTTTAAATGAATATTTTGCAATGGAGAGTCAATAACTTTCATAAGAAAAACATTTTGTGCTTTAATTTCTTTAAGACTATCACAACAAACTATATCAACGATGTTCATTGACTCTGCTGCCTTTAAATCAATTGTTGTTATATTTTTTGAATACTGAATATATAATTTCTTTAATTTGTTTTTAGCAACATACTCAGGAAATCCAAATGGTTGTTCAACTTCAAGTTCTTCACAATTATCAACTGGGACATATGAACGAATAATAGAAATATTTTTTGCATGTAAATCAATTGTTTTTAATTTACCAGTTATAAGAATAGAATTAAAAATGAATGATTTCATCTTTAATATTTTATCATGCTCTCCACTTGCTTTTAATTTAAGATTCATTGGGAAATACAACTTCCATAATTGTGCTGAATAAAAATCAAATACAGATGCTTCAAATGATAAGTATGTTCGTGTAACACCAGAGGGTGTTGTAATTCGTTCTGGTAAAACAAAAACCTTTTTTTGGATAAGAGATTCATTAGTCTTAGAATTAAATCCACCTATTTTTATTTGAGGATTAGTTACATATTTTTCTACTATTAGTTCATCCAATCCATGAACTTCCAATATTATAGAAGTATTCTCAGGAATAAACTGAAGTAATTTATCAAAAAATACTAATAAATGAGTGTGTAATTCAATAATAAGTTTTTCTAATTTTAGATCTTTAATTCCAATAGCTAATGTAGTAAATGTTCTTATATACCATCCACTTCCAAATTTTATTCTAACCACTTTTGTTGTTGGTGGAATTTCAAGACTTTCATCCTCAAAAACTTCTTTGTTATAATAACTCTCCTCTTTAGGTGATTCAATCCTTTCTTTATATCTCTTAGAAACTAATGCGAGTGAATGTATATTATCACAATACCGAATAAGATTAGTTACTTCTTCTCCAGTAAAAGTTGTCATAATTGTTATATTTTAGTTCTTTCAATTTGGGTTGAAGTACAACATGACGTGGCGAGTAGAAAAGGATTGATTAAGACAGCTCATTCTTCAATTCTTTAGATAAAAATGTTATACAAAACATTTTAATTATTTTTATTTAAGAGACCCTATAAATAAAACTATTCAAGTTATTTCTTACGTCTAATTATTACTATTGGCGTAGGTTGTGTACGCTTAGGTTTTGTCTCATTTTCTTTCTTTGATAATAAGGAAATACTTTTAGCATTTTCTTTGTTTGAAATATTTTTGGTGTTTTCTTTGTTTGAAATATTTCTTTTTCTTTCAAGGTTATTTCCTAAATTATTTCCAAACAATCTAAACGCTCGTTTAATTCCATCTCCAATGGCCATTTTCTTAGACATCTGACAAGCAACTCCACGGTCCTTATCATATGACGTTGCAACACCAATATCTTCATGTGAAGTCCCATCTTTCAGTTCTATTTTTACTTGAGCAGAAGAAGTAACTTCAAACTGACCATTTTCATATTCTATTGAATCTATAGAGAATGAAGTAATATAGTTTGACCAACCATCATCACCAAATATATTATTTGCCATTTCTACAATTGTCCACCATGGAATATAACTAATAACTTGATTATTTTCTTTATCTTCCATCGTTTTAATGACATCTGCAGGTGTATTTTTTTCCAACTGTCTTTGAATATCAGTATAATTATCAAACAATTCAAAACCAAAATGTGGTTTTATTTCATGAGACATATTAGTGTTATTTTTTGAGATTGTGTCTTTTCCTCAATAAAAACTCAAAATTAACTGTTTTTTGTTATTTAAGAATGTTGTGTTTTATATAAAAAGAATAGGTAAATGTTATAAAATGATTATAGATCTTGGAACTAAGTGACGTGGAACCAAAAAAATAAATAGTAAAAATAATTATAAATAAATTATTTCAGAATAAAACCGAGATTAAAGAAAGAAATATAAAGGGAAACCCTTTACAAAACACTCAAATAAACAACCATGGCTATGATGAACACTATTATTACTGCTCAAGGAGAAGAATTTCCTCTCCAAGGAATGACTTTAGTTCTTAGACACCTTGCTCTTGAAGGTGATCAAAAGACTTCTGTTTATTTAATTACTAAAGATGAAGATGACAAAGAAGTTAAAGTTCTTCTTGCAACTCTTTCTTCAGCTGTTCCACAACATTCATGTGAAATTCCAATTACTGGTGAAACTGTAAAATTAATTTGTGAAGGAAAAGCTAAAGTTCATGCTATTTTAACACCAGAATTAGAAGAAGATTTTGATGATTTTGATATGGAAGGTATGTCTGAAGAAGAAGATGATGATAATGGTGAATTTGCTGAAGAGGGTGATGATGATGAAGAGGATGAAGATGAAAAACCAGTTGAAGCACCAAAGAAAGTAGAACCAAAGAAAGAGGAAAAGAAACCACAACAACCAAAGAAGGAAGAAAAGAAACCACAACAACCACCAAAGAAAGAAACTAAACCACAACAACACCAACAACCAAAAAAAGAAGAAAAGAAACCACAACAACCACCAAAGAAAGAGTTTAATAAGAAAGAAGGAAAGAAAATGAATAAGAAGAATAATAAAAAGCATTAAAATTGATTGATTTTTCTATTTATTTATCTTACTTTTATAGTTAGAAATAGAACGGAAATATTAATCGATTTTTTAAAGGTTTGGATATTAAATGTATCTCTTTTGGGTAAGTCCATTTTCAATTTAAAAGAAAGAAAAAAGAAAAAACAAAGAGAACTTAGAAATTATTTAATATTCGTGTATTATGCAACAATTTGAACAACTAGAAAAACAACTTGAATTATTTGGACAAAAGGTGAATGAAATGGGAGAGTCATTAAAATCACTTTCTATGGTTCAAAATGGTACTGAAGAGTTAATTAAAAAAACAAGGGCATTACGTGAAACATCACAAAAACATCATCAAGAATTATTAGAAGCATTAAACAATCACCAACAAACTATTGAAAGACAAATTAGTGAAATTAGAATTGCGATGGGGTGTGGTATTGCTGGTGAAAGAAGAAATCCATTGAATGATGAAGATATTCAACGAATAGAAATTTTAACAGGAAAGACAGCTGGAGAAGTAATTTATCAAGCATCAGTTGATGGATTTAAAAACAACAATTTCAATGAAAATGTTGGTGGAAAAGAATCAATTGTATTAGTTATATTTGATAGTGAAGGAAATGTGTTTGGTTCATATAATGCAAAACAAATTCCTGAAATAAAAAAAGATGAAACCGAAACGATTCCAGCAAAAGGACTATATGATGACAATGACCATTTCTTATTTGTATTAAGAAAGAAAGGAGTTTCTGATGTAAAAAAATTTACAAGAAAAACTAATGGATATTCGTTATGGGTATTTGGTAGTATTGATAATCTTCTTTCAGTTAATGGTGCATTTGTTTTAGTAAATGAATGTAATAGGTCGTTTGATTCATCTATTTCAGGAAATTTTAGAAGAGAGTATGACGAAGATATGTTCATTGATAAAAAGAAATTTATGGTAAGAGATATTGTTGCTATTTCTTTTAATTAAAACTCTTTCCTTCAAATTTATTTGATAGTTGTTTTTATTATTTATTTATTATTCATTTTATTAATAAATTAACCAAAGAACTTTTCTAAAGAAATTTTACTTATCATGTGGTGTTATATCAAATCATTATTCGGATTTCATCAACAACAAGACAACTCCCTTCTCTCTTCAATGTATGGACAGTCGTATGTTACAGTCCCTTCTGAACTTGCAACAACACTAACATTTTCACAATTAACCCTCCAATCTTCTCAACAAAAAATTAAAAAGGAAAAAATTACTTTGGATAAGGTGTATAATGAAGCTAAACCAAAAAACCCAACGATTTCTCAACAATTAAGACGAGTTGGAAAAATATTTGCTGTATTATCTGAAGACAGAAAAAAAGATATTTTAGATTTAATCAACCCATCGTCAACAGTGATTATAACCAACCCTAGACTTAGAATAAAAATGATTGAGAAAAGAATTAACCAAATGAATAAACGCATCAAACAACTTGAAGAAATACAAAAAGGAAAAGATGTTGAAACACAAAAAATAAAACTATAATTTATGATAAATTAAACTAAATTTTATTATTTTTTATTAAAGAAAAATATGAAAGTAATAAAAAAATAAACTAAAAATTAAATAAACAAGGGTATGAGTTCATTTAATACTTGTAGAATTCTTCCAAGCGTAGCAACTAAATTGATTGATATTTGCAACCGTTTGAAAGGAGACAATGTTGTTGGGTTATTAAGTGGGCACCGTTCATTTGGAGAAATTTTTGATGTTATGGATGTTATTCCAATTTCAACAGTTTGTTTTCTTTAAAATTCATTTATACGTTTATAACTTCTAACGTTATTAAGAACCCTAATTGTCAAATCGATCCAGAAGAAATTATGAAAACTATCTCTTCTCATATTAAAGTATTTGATGAGGAAATGATTATCGGCTATTTCCAAGTAAGTTCAAATCTTCCAAAACCACAAATTACCAACTTACATAAGTTCTTCAATGAGGCACAAAAAATTCCATTGTTCATTGCTGCAGGATGTGAATCTACTTTTAAAATTGTAGCATACACCAGTACACTCCCAACTGAAGATAAATCTGTTGAATTTTCAACTATTGGTATTACATATCCTATTGACGCTCTTGATCGTATTGTTCTTGCTACTCCAGTTGAAATTATTAAGAATTGATTTTCAGTGTATTGAATTAAAAATATGATTTTTAAAAATAAAAAACAAATAAAAAGAAAAAAGAAAAAGAAAGAAATGAAAGAATTAATAATAAGAAGAGAAAGAAGGGAGATTAAGAAAAGGAGAAGAAAGATGATCACAATTAAGATTAGGATGATTTTGATGAAGGACATTTTTGCGAATAAGAAGAAGGGCATTTTTCATGTCGAAGTTAACAGATCTTAAAACAGATAGAGCGATGTCATGAGGAATCCTTCCACGAGAAGCGGTATTAATTAAAGCAGAAAGACAATTTTTAGTAATATTAACACTGATTTGTTGAATAGCATTATTAAAAAGATGAATATGATCATTACAAATTTTATGATTAATAATAAGAAGAGTTCTAGTGAAATTAATAGGTTGATTATTAAAATGAAGAATACCAAAAACAGATATTTCTTTAATTTGACCAATTTCAATAATATCAAAAGCGATTTCCATCATATTATATTCAATATTATTGAGAAGAATAATTTTAGAATAATAAAGATTATAATTTAATAATTTTCCAATAAGTTGAATAATTTCTTTTTCTTTTAAATGATTTCTATTTATATTATGAATAAATTGATTAATAATTGGACAATTTGGTGATAAAGTAATACTAATAAAATGAATTTGATTATAATATGAATTAATATTAATTTTATTTGTTTCTTTATCAAATATTTCTCTTAATATTTCTTTAATATTTTTAAATGTTGAATATTTTGAAAAATATCCCATTGTTATTTCTTCTTCTAAATAATTTTTTTGAATTCCAAATTTTATTTTATTTTCTATTTTATTTCCATTAATTATTATTATATTTGGTATTATTTTTTGTATTTCTTCTTGATTATTTCTTCCTTTAATTGGATTATTTCTTAAATCAATTTCTTCTATTCTTATATTAATTTCTTCTATTTTTTCTATTTCATTATTTGATATATCTATCCCTTTAATTATTGGATATATTTTATTAATATTATTAATTATTTGTATACTTTTTATTTTATTCCCTGAAAGACAAATATATTTAATCATTGAATTCTTATCACTAATACTTTTCATTATCCTTTTTATAAATATTTCATCTACTTCTCTTTGACTTCCTATTTCTTTTATTTTCTCTTTTAATCTTGATATATCTATTATTCCTTTTCTTCCATCATACCATTTCTCTATTATTTCTTTTGCTATTTCTTCTATCCTTTTGTCTTTTTTCTCTATCACTTCAATACTTACTTCCATATCTTTATATCTCATTATCTTTTTCTTTCTTTCTATTTTCTTTTCTTCTTTTTTCTCTATTTCACATATATAATTCATCCCTATCTCTTTAATCTTTTCACTTCTTATATCCATCTCTTTCTTTAAAAACTCTTTCACTTCTTGTTTCGTCCCATTAAAATTATGTATTCCTATCTTCATTCCTTTCTTTTCTTGTTTTTTTTAGTTATTCTCTTCTTTTCCTCCCTTCTTTTCTTCCCTTCTATCTCCTTCTTTTCTCAAAATCTCAAAAACAAGTTTTGTATTCTATTGAAGGTAATTTGTGACTGAAACAAATTTCAATTAATAAAATCATTAACAATGTCTATAAACTGGGTAAATGAAATATTCCCTAACTCCAGCGTTTTAACACAGATGTACTCACTTAATTGAGTGAGTTCTCTTGACTCTTTTAATCTAAGATAATTTGGATCTAAATCCCCAACTCTACACCTATCAAGAGCATCTGAATCTTTGAGTATGGAAACTACAAAATAGTCGTCTTCATTTGGTTTACTTTCTCCTGTACAATGTTTAATGACAGCGCTCTTGATGTATTTTTGTTCTGTTTCTGAAATAGAATACTTTATGATATGATTTTTTAACAAATTGAATTTTGTTTTTGCTGCCAATGGTCCATGTTCAGTACAAATTCCATCTCTTTTTCTTGCCATGTCATGAATAAGAGAACCACATGAAGCTAATAAACCAAATCTTCTTTTTTGTGTGTAATAACCAATAATTAAAGAAAATAATACAACTCTATATGTATGAATTAATCCATGAATACTATTTGGGTGATCAAAGTATGCGTCTGAAATGTCAAAATCAGATAATGCTATTCCCATACTTTTTACAATATATTTGATTGATTCTTTGTGCCATTTAAATGACTTGTGAAGTAATTGAACAGAACTAACTGTCAACTGTTGAAGTTGAGAAAATAATATGTCTTTATTTGTTTTAATAAAATGAAGTATTTCACAAAAATAGAGACTTTTATAAACACAACAAGAGTTATAAATTTTTACGTCACATCCCTCAGTTTCTATAAAATGATTCTTTACAGTAATTTCAATCCATTGAATTAATTCTTGAGGAATAGCTATTTTATCTATTTGAAGTGTTCGATAAATGTAATTAATAATAAATTGTCTGTATTGAATTGCATTATTTAAGTTATTACAAATCACTTGATTTTGGATACTACAAATACTAGATGTACCATTTTCTTTTTGTAAATCTTTTTCAAGAATAAAAGAATTTAGACATAGAGTCATGAATTCGTCATATTGTTTATACCCAAAATCATGAAGGTAAATTGGGTCTAAATGAAATAGTTTTCTTTTTACAGCAATACATTCTTTGTCAAGTAAAGTTATAAGAAGTTCATAAACCTCGTTAGAAGTCCCAGGAGAGATAAGTCTTCTGTCAACAAGTAAAAAATTATCAGTAAGAGTAATAACCATTTTACCTTGTTGAGGTTTATATTATTTTTAAGTTCTTTAATTATAATGACAGTTTTTAAATCTTCCTAACTTGTAAGACCCAAAAACTAAAATTACAAAAGATAAACAAAGTCACATCTAATCTAAATAAGACTTTTCTTCTTCAAGCTGTTTTGGAGCATGTTTTTGAAGGAAATATCCAATACCTATCATAACGTCGGTTGCTATACAGAAAGATATATCAAAACATACTTTTGGTGTAAATAACCTAAATATTTCTAAATGTCCAGACACAAAATAAGTAAAGAACATTATTGGAACTAATTGGTATATAAACATAGTTGCGAGGCATAAAGAACTTCGAATGTACAAAGATGTTTTAGTTAGATGGGACTTCAAAATTATTAGCAAACCAAAAATAATACTGATACTTGGGAAGAAGAAAGTATTCAAAATAACCAAAAAGCCATTTCCAAAGAATGAATAGAATGGTATTCCAATAAATCCAGCATTAAATTGAATATCACTAAATTGGAATGCATGTCCACTTAAGAAGAAGAAATGAATTCCAAAGAAGAAAAACACAAGAAGTACTCCTAAATTGAATGAGTGCTTATTGAAATACCATATTAAAAATATAAAAAATAAAATAGTTATTAACACATTTAAAGGTAATATTACACCTAGAATTGGTATTAGTGAATACAAACAATTAACATCTTTTTTTCGTATAAGAATTACCATTTCTATTAAGCTTAAAAGATAGATAGAGTCAGGAATTAAAATAGTTAATAAAGGAATAGATAAATTTTCTATTAAATGATATATGAGTGATAATAGCATTGCAACAGATAATAAGGTATTATGCTTGTAGAAATAAAACATCAATGAAAGGGCAAAAATACAAATATACCCAACAAATGGATGAACGAAATAATTATAGTTGGAAACTAAATAACAAAACACTAATTCCATAATTGGTAATTGTTTTGTTTCCAACCAATTGAAATATGTCAATACGACAAAAGAGCACATACCAACATAAAATGATGTATAGTTTTCTTCTTTAATAAAAGAATCAGTACACTGTCCAAATCCATAAATAAGAGTAACAACACCAACCATTAATAAGTCACAGGGGATAATTGTTGTTAGTGTTGTTAAAGTAAATGGAAGCTTGAAAAGTGTTACAAAACATCCAATAATATAACAAACTTCAGAACAAAGTATCATTCCTATTACTAAACATTCAAAAAAGTTAAAACTAGAAGTTGTAATTAATACCAGTCCTAAGAAGATTCCAATAAATATCCCAAATATTAATGGTTTATACGGAACACTTGAATCTTTTGGAAGTAATAATGTAAGCAATGATACAAACAAAGATAAAACAGTAATAATAATACCAGCTAACATATAATTAAATTTAAATGTTGATTTATGTTTAACATATTTTTTATGTATTTCATGACTTATTCGTTCATGTTCATTCATTACTTCTATTAATTTCTCTTTCTGTTCAAAATATTTTATTTCTTCTTCTTGAATTTTTTTTATTTCTTTTTCTATTTCTTTTATCCATTCTTCTCTTCTTATCCCTTCTTTTTCTTTTAAATATCGAATAATTTGATTAGTTGTAATGTTTAATGCATTCACATATCTTTGAATATCTTCTATCTCTTCTTCTCTTCCTAATATAATATCTCGAATAGGTGTTCCAATGTTACTATATGGTATAGGAATACCCATCCCAATTGCAATCGTTGGAACAATATCAACTTGTGTTATTTTCTCAACTTCTTTTCTTCCTCCTTTTCGATTTTTCCTATTATCATAAACAAATAACCCTGCATCTATTTCTTCTAGTGTTGATCCTCCATGGTTCCCTTCTTCTGTTAATCCATGATCACCAAAAACTAATGCTAATGTATCTTCAGGTAGTGAATATAATGATCTATTAAGAATGTTATTAATTTCTATTAATTTTTTTTTCATTAATGGATGATTAGCAACATAACAATGACCGACTTGATCAATTCCAAGAAAGTGAGATATCATTATATCATAATCACTTGCATTTTGATGTTGTTGTAATGCTTTATCACATATATTATCAACACTATCTATATCTGTAATGTTATGGGCTGTATCATTCGAAACACTATTAAATTGATTAGGATATAAATCAACCCATAATGAATCTCCTTCAAAAACTGTTCTTAATCCATTTTCTTTAAATTGGTGTATTAATGAATCTTCAAAAACAACAGGGCTATTTAAAGTATTTGATATTTCAATAGGTACAGGAACACCACCTGTTGTCATTGCTTTAACACGTTGAATAGTAAGTGTTGGTGGGTCAGGAATGAAATGATATTTTGAAGAACGAGAAGGGTATTGATTTTTCTAAGATTTGA